TTATATATTTAGCCTTCAACTAACTACTACATCTTGTCTCTATCGATAGTTTCTATCCAATAGTTGCTATCGTAATGAAAATATTTTGTCGAGCTTTTACTATCAAAAAATTTTTGTCGAGCTTTTGTATTTATTGTTTATCTTGCTTATTTAAAAATACGATGGATAAATAATCTCTTGTACTTCTCCTAACGAATATTTTGACTTGTGCAAATACTATTATCTCATCTTATTTTGCCTTTCATGATTTATTCAAATATCAACTTTGGATAAAGGAGGAATTATACGGTACATTGATCTTGACGACGCTTATGAACGAAGGCGTATGACTTCTTATTTCTAAAAGTTACATATCTACTCCTTATTTTGCCTTTCAAGTCGTTGCTCTCGTTCGTAGACCGGAGCAAAATTGTCTGCTTCATAGAACAGGTCATTTTGAGATTGGCCAAATGCATAATTTGAGGAAACATTTACCCCTTCTTCCCTTTTAATTGGGCTGGCATCTCTCCCATGCCTTTGGAATTGAGCCCTATCATTTTGGATCTTTTCCTCCACAAGGTTATTCCATTAAGCTTGCTGGTTATGGAAGAGCACTCCTTGAGGTATCTGCGTACCTGTTTGCCTTTGTATTTGCTGGAGAATCTGATGCATCATGGCATTTTGCTATGAGATATTCCTCATATTGGAGGCCATTTTCACTACCTCTCAAGCGAGGCAAGCGATAGTCCTACCACCTCGAAGGTGATGATGGTGGGGTCATCAGTGTATATAATTGGTTAAGAGGATCTCTTCTTCAGAGACCTTCCTTAACCTTCTTAGATTCCTATCTTCTTCACCAACGCCCATGGTGGGTGGATGCTTCTTTTATTAAAAAAGGAGGGTCTTTTGTACAGATTTTGTCTCTTCAAATCTTCGTTTTTTAAAGAAAGTCACACCCAATAGGCCAATAACTTAGAGCACGTAGAATCTTCTTTCCTTTGAAACATCCACTTGTTCTTCTTTAATAGAAAAACCTTTTTATGAACGGGGAGTTGAAGCACTTTTTCAGCAAGCTTTTTCTATAGGAATGTACATGGTTAATAATGTGGCTTCTCAACGATGTCAATTTGTTGACCTCGATTTTTGCACGGAAAGTGTGGCCGACAAATTTCAGCTCCACTCACCTCCATGTAGCTAAACTCCTACACACTTGGACAAACTGTTAGAAACATGTAATCTTCTTCGAAGGTGGGGAGGCGGCCGCGACACTCTTGACAGTCAAGTCGGTTGATACGTATGAGTATATTTAGGTGTCAAATATGCGAAATACGTGAGCCACAAAAGTGTTAGGATACTGAAAATGTATATTGCGGGTAAATGAGAGAGAGCAATGTTACTTTGAGTGTGAAAGGGTTTTTATAGTAGTAGAAGAGAAATAATAATTGTTGGATGAAAAAACACGTGGTCTCATTTGAACAGTTGAAAAAACACGTGGTCTCGCATGCATCATTCAACCAATCCTAGGCTTGGGGAATTTAATGTTTCTTAAAAGTAGCCATTTTATAGTCTAAACCCGAGTATGACAATTTGACAGTTTGGACGTCTGCTATAGAGATATCACATCAATCAATCGTATGAAGATCTTATATGAAATATTTCTTGGCATACGTCTCGTTGTCTCAAACTTATTTTGCAACAGGTTGTAGCACCTCGCCTAGGTCACGGATGAGTTGGCCTTACATGGCACCTTGATAGAGGTAGTATATTACCTCAATCACCTTATGTATGGTTTCACTTCAGCCATATAGGATGGTGATGCAGAGTGTGGGCCTGATTGAACTTTCTAGCTAACTATCACGTGACGCTAATTTGGAGCCCATTAGAGAAGGCGTCGTAGCGACGATAACTAACCCGTTAAAACCAAGATATTTTTTTATTTTAATTATCTTTAACCTTGATTCGATCTCATTTCGACTTCAATTTTTCCCATTCTCTATGCATTTTGTATTTCTTAATATTTCACGTGTAAGGCACCTTGATAGAGGTAGTATATTACCTCAATCACCTTATGTATGGTTTCACTTCAGCCATATAGGATGGTGATGCAGAGTGTGGGCCTGATTGAACTTTTTAGCTATGACAAATTTCAGCTCCACTCACCTCTCAAGCGAGGCAAGTGGTAGTCCTACCACCTCGAAGGTGACGATGGTGGGGTCATCAGTGTATATAATTGGTTAAGAGGATCTCTTCTTCAGAGACCTTCCTTAACCTTCTTAGATTCCTATCTTCTTCACCAACGCCCATGGTGGGTGGATGCTTCTTTTATTAAAAAAGGAGGGTCTTTTGTACAGATTTTGTCTCTTCAAATCTTCGTTTTTTAAAGAAAATTCACACCCAATAGGCCAATAACTTAGAGCACGTAGAATCTTCTTTCCTTTGAAACATCCACTTGTTCTTCTTTAATAGAAAAACCTTTTTATCAACGGGGAGTTGAAGCACTTTTTCAGCAAGCTTTTTCCATAGGAATGTACGTGGTTAATAATGTGGCTTCTCACAACGATGTCAATTTGTTGACCTCGATTTTTGCACGGAAAGTGTGGCCGACAAATTTCAGCTCCACTCACCTCCACGTAGCTAAACTCCTACACACTTGGACAAACTGTTAGAAACATGTAATCTTCTTCGAAGGTGGGGGAGGCGGCCGCGACACTCTGACAGTCTAGTCGGTTGATACGTACGAGTATATTTAGGTGTCAAACGTGCAAAATACGTGAGCCACAAAAGTGTTAGGATACCGAAAATGTATATTGCGGGTAAATGAGAGAGAGCAATGTTACTTTGAGTATGTTACTTTGAGTGTGAAAGGGTTTTTATAGTAGTAGAAGAGAAATAATAATTGTTGGATGAAAAAACACGTGGTCTCATCTGAACAGTTGGGACTCCTCTGTCACATACATCATTCAACCAATCCTAGGCTTGGGGAATTTAATGTTTCTTAAAAGTAGCCATTATATAGTCTAAACCCGAGTATGACAATTTGACCGTTTGGACGTCTGCTATAGAGATATCACATCAATCAATCGTATGAAGATCTTATATGAAATATTTCTTGGCATACGTCTCGTTGTCTCAAACTTATTCTGCAACAGGTTGTAGCACCTCGCCTAAGTCACGGATGAGTTGGCCTTACATGGCACCTTGATAGAGGTAGTATATTACCTCAATCACCTTATGTATGGTTTCACTTCAGCCATATAGGATGGTGATGCAGAGTGTGGGCTTGATTGAACTTTCTAGCTAACTATCACGTGACGCTAATTTGAAGCCTATTTGAGAAGGCGTCACAGCGACGATAACTAACCCGTTAAAGCCAAGATATTTTTTTATTTTAATTATCTTTAACCTTGATTCGATATCATTTCGACTTCAATTTTTCCCATTCTCTATGCATTTTGTATTTCTTAATATTTCACGTGTAAGGCTCCTTGATAGAGGTAGTATATTACCTCAATCACCTTATGTATGGTTTCACTTCAGGCATATAGGATGGTGATGTAGAGTGTGGGCCTGATTGAACTTTTTAGCTAACTATCACGTGACGCTAATTTGGAGCTCATTAGAGAAGGCGTCATAGCGACGATAACTAACCCGTTAAAGCCAAGAAATTTCTTTATTTTAATTATCTTTAGCCTTGATTCAATATCATTTCGACTTCAATTTTCCCCATTCTCTATACATTTTGTATTTCTTAATATTTCACGTATCGAATGTATAATTTTGAAATATTAATTATCTTTCACTTATTTCACCTCCATCTATCCAAGTAAAACAATTTGAAACACCATCTCCGTTCCTATGTTTAAGTTTCCTTGAAAGTAATTTATAATTTTCAGTAAAAATTAAATTTGAATCAGGCCTTCGTAACTTTTATCCATACATCTCATTTCGCATCTCATTATAATCTCCTTGTATAAATAATAATGCTATTTATTTTAATTAGTGTGATGTATCATTAAATAATAAGAGTAATAATAATGTTATCTATCAATAGTAGAGATGCATAACTAGTTATGTGACAACAAGTATTTATTCATTGTCCAATAAAATTGTGATGCACTTTACTAAAAAATGAAATAGAAGACTCATTGTCACCTAACGAGTAAACATCTTTAGTCTTTACAAATGATAGATATCATTATTCGACCAATAAATTGAGTTTCATTTCAAGAAATTTAATTGACATTATCATTTCATATTACATCACCTGTCACATAGATTGGTAATAATCTCTAATATAGATAAATAACATCATTGTATAATGAATTCCAAACACTTATTGACCGTTCTCTTTGTGTTTCAGTTTTGTATTTTGAGTTTTGAATTCATTTTTGGTTCTGTGTTTTGAGTGTTTATTTTGTGATTGTTGAAAATATGTTTTTTTTTTTTTGCATTTTGAAAAATTGTTCTGAAAATATTCAAAACGCGTTTTGAAAATTTTGTCTTGATTATAACTGAAAATACCCAAAATGACAAATTTGTGGTTTTGAGTTTTCTTTGTAAATTTTGAACTCGTTTTCAAACACGCGTTTTCGAAAATAGGAAAGAGAACACGCGTTTTCACTGTTTTGGAAAATCGAAACAGAAAACGGCTTAAAAATGGTAAAGAGAACAGACACTTTAATCCCATTGTCTTCTCCAAGAATAATAAGTGAGTTGTAAATTAATAAAATAATACTAAATAATAAAACCAAATCAATAAATACTTAATTTAACAAAATAAAAGTGATCCTAATTCCACTTCAACCTACCTCATTTACCTAACAGTTGAGATTGGCATTAACTACGAATCATTTCAGGACATATTACCTATTTTATAGACGGGTGATTATTTCTAATGAAAATAATCTTAACTGTTATTGTGTAACGATTACTTTTGAGTGGAAGTGTCGTTCAATCATCGAGCAGGAGAGAGGCGAAAAGGATCAACCGAGGAAGGAACGTCATCTATTCTAAAATCATTTTCATTTGCTAACACCAAAAACATACCAGAATTCTCCTGCTTGACCTGAGGCAAGTGACCAGACCAAGATTGGGCTTACCTCGAAGCCAAGTAAAGACAATGCATCTAAAGAAACAAGAAGCCGTTCTACCTCTATGAAGAAGAGCCAGACCAGTAACGCTTTACCCGCTGAAATGAACCTATTCGAGGGTTAGAATGGTTCGTTGATGAATGGTAACCGATCTGTCACGTATTGCTGAAACTGAATCATATATGCTAATTTTTTGAGTTAACATTCCATTATCTAGTGTTTTTATTTATTTTAATATCGATAGTATTAATAGATCAAATTATTTTGAGAACTGACATGTACATCGAGCCAAGAAAATAAAAAAGATCAAGTTTCAATGTACAGAGCAAACAAAAGGAGCTGGTGATCTCTAGAGTAACTCAAATATGCAATATAAACGGCAGCTTCAGCACAATCTGAGTTTCCATGGTTGCAAATTTATTCAAAAATTGGCATGAAAATAATGGGAAAATAGCAAAAAACTGAAGAAAATGCATTTCGGAAACGGATGACGACAGTAGAATCAGCCCAATTCTATTTCATCCATGAAACATAAGTATCAAGAAACAAAACGTAATTACAGTCTCAGTTAATTAACTTGGAATTCTTAGACTGGTGAAGACAGGCTGACTAGAAGTTGACCACTTATGACGCTGCAAGATCACATAATATGCAAGCAAGTGAGCTTTTGTTAGATAATTATACACTATTGACCTTAAATTAGAGAATTAGGTTTGAACCCTGGAGTCTAACCTTTTGATGTAATAGTAACAAAAGTCGGCCAAGATGAACGTCTGAACAATTTCTGCGAGTAGGATCATTGGAAGCCAAATGTAGCCAGTTCCAACCACAAACAGGTATTGTCCAGCAGATTCATAAACCTACAATGAATTGAGATGTAAGGGTAAATTTTCACTGTCAGTTCATTTTAACCACCTGAATGGAAATGATTAAGAAATTTTAAATCATGGTGCGAAAAAATATATCCCTGCCTTTAATGTAAAAAAATTGATTAAGAAGATTAATGGCCGTCATGGATAAATTTGACGAAGTGTGGTGTGAATGGATACTAGCCATGGCAACGACAAAGAGTTATGTATTACAATTTTCATTTTTGTACAATTTTCAAGACTGTTTGGAATCATACTTGTTAGCATACTAAACGCACAGCAGCGTACTCAAGTTCGATTGGACAGTGTGAATGTAGCACGATACTTCAACACTTACTTGAATGATCCAATGAGCACATCCCAAGAATCTCGCAACACCGAGTGCAAACACATAATGGGCCGTGAATGGTTCGATCATCTGGAACACAATCGAGTAAAATGAAATTGTATTAGCAAAATCTGTCAATCAGGTATCAGTCCAAAAACCAGATGAAACTGAATGAAATACAAACCTTGGTGTTCTGCATCATCCGCAGTTGTGGCAACACTGAAATGGATTCTAAGTACACAGCAAATGCCCAAAGGATTCGGCCAAAACGTGCATGGTGTGTATATGGATGTACAAGTATGGCTGCAATAGCAGAAGGCACCACCTGGAAGAGAGATTAAGGAAACACAAAAGTGTTGTACAAAGTTAACGATGAACTAGAAAACCAGCAACTTGAATCCACCAAAAGGAAGGTTTGAACATGATAATGGAAAAATCGCTGTCTTCAAACTATATTTGCCGCTACTTGGATGAGTGCTTGAAGGTTTTTAATGGCAAATAGTTTGCAGGAGTAAACATACCTTAATCCAAATTCAAATCATGCAAAATAAACTCGGAAAAAAACTTGAAGAACAATTTGAGAAAACTGAGTTCGATCTTTTATTGGATGTAAGTTAATGAATTTGATGTTTGTGATATTTTTTCCAACATGAAAATCATCCATATATATAGAACATCAACCATCATGCACGAAAGGGTGCCAAAAACAAGTCCAAGAGGGTTTAGGCTAGGGTTTCCAAAATAGAGGGTGGGCGATTGCCCAGGCTCCCAGGCCATTTTCTGGTCTTCTCCGTTTTTTTCTTTCGATTGTTTTCACACTGACTTTATGTTTTCATATGGATGTTAGATCACTCCAAATCACTGGTCATTATATATATTGAACAATATTACGACAAAAAGTCGTGTTAAATCTTTTCCCCATCTCAAAATCTCTTTCTTTTAGTCTTCAAATATGAACTAGGTCACCCTAATATTCCTACTATATAAAGGATTACAATTTACAAGGGGCTGGTTTTAATATTATAAGAGGCATGGAATCGCCTTATACTCGATTTCTTCATTACTATGAAAACCTGCATTAGCAAAGTGGAAATAGCTCTCACATTGAGCGTGAACCACTATAAATCTGCACGTCTTTTTGCTTGTTTTTCTGATTTTCCGTTGCTCTCGCAAATGGGTTAGGGCTTATTCCATAACAAATAACATAAAAGGCTAAAATGTAGCATAGAAATTAATGCTTCTTCTACCACAAAAGGAAAGAATAGTAACCGAAAACCGTATTTACCACATAATATAAGGGCATATTATCGAGCTCCACAATGTAGGTTGACTTCAACTTGAACCTTATCGTATAAATGACCCACAAAGTCGACACCAGTGTCAAACAATCGAGCACAGTGTGAATGTCACCCTCCATAACTAAACTACAGCATAATCTTGCTGCCAGAAATATAGCTGTAAGTTCTTGAGACTTCAAAGAAAGACCTGAAAAACGTAGGAAAAACAAGATTATCAGAGCGGCCAGTCAGGAATAAGTACACGATAGAGCGAATACATTGAAATTTTTTTGAAGAAAAATAATTGTACTTGTCAAGAATAATCCAGTTAAAATACTATGAAATTTTCTAAAGTTGAACCCAACATTTAATGAATTGAATTAACAGCATTAAATTTGTATCAACCACTGAGGCAAAAAAATGATCAGTATAATGAAGCCATCCGCTCGGCCGCTCGGTTCTTGAAAAGTCGGCTTGTGAGTGGCTCGGGCTCGCCCACGGGTGAGCTGCTCGTGGGCTCGTTCAAGGCGGTGGTTTAATTTTTTTTTTTAAAGGTTTATCTTAAAAAATAATAATAATAAATAAATAAATTTGACAAGCTCGAGAGTCGAAGCTCAGCTCAGCTCGGCCCACGAGTAACGAGCCGAGCTTCAAACGAGCCAGGAGCTCGGCTCGTGCGAGCTTGAGCCGAGCTCATGCCTAAACAGGCTGAGCCAAGCCATTGCCATCTCTAGACGCATACCAGAATGTCAACAGACAAATATGTGCAGAGTTGTAATTTCACAAAAGTCAAGAATATTAAAAAGTTCTATATTTTGACACTGTGCAAATTAAGAGGAAAAAGAACAGTTTAATATTATTAATGGCATTAAACACGTATTTATTTCTATCATAATTTTATATTAAGAAAAATTATAAACCAATATTAAAAAAAACACTAAAATTTATATGTAGAAAATACCAGACATTTTGTGTTTGCAAGGAAAAAAGGGGATTCAACGCCAACTGATAAATCAAGAGCAATAATCCAAAAATTCATAGCAAAAAAAAAATAAAAAATCCCATAATTAAAAACAAAAAGGATTAAAAAAAAATCAACAGAAGTAAATTATTTAAACAATATAATACCAGAGCAAGTCTTCTGGGTGGTGAGCTTATAAATCAAGACCAGAATCCCAGCAAAATGGATAGCCTCAGAGGCAACAAAGAAATGGCTGTGATCTTTCACACAGAATTTGAGAGCCACCAGCGCCGCCACCACAGCCGTCACGGCCAAGAAAACCTTCACTTTCAAGGACTGCCGCCGCACCCATGCAAAAAGCTTGTTCAGCGGAGCACTCCTCCGGCGGCCCATCTTAGTAGGATAGATTTTTCCGGTGAAAAATATCAGTTGATGAGAATGAAAATTCGTGAGGAGAGGAGAGGTGGGGTGGGTGAGATTGAAACGAAGAGTGCATGCAGTTGTTAATAAATTGGATTTCGTAAATGGAAATGCAATTCAATTAATGCGTATTTTGGCGTTGAATCTGACATTTATTTCGGATTTAACTCAGACAGTGAAAGTCTTTCCAGTTTCCACACACTAAAAACTTTGACTGTTAAATTGATTTAATGATAATTTTCTTCAAATTATTAAATAAAGGATAAATTACAGTAATGACCTTCCATATTTATTTATAATAATGAAACATCGACAGTTTATGTGAAATAATGAGATTGAACAGTTTAATTTTTATGGAAGAAATGGAATGGAGAGAAAAATAAAAGTAATGGTATTTAGTTTCACTAGAATTACAACCCCAATTTAGATGGCGTTAATGTAATATTAAATAATAGGTAGAGCTAAATAAGTCATTTAATTCTATATTTCATTTAATCTAACATCTAGCGCCATCTAAAATGAGGTTACAACCCCCAGTGGGCTTACATGACATTCTTTGAGAACTAAATGTCTGGTATTTTCTACAATGGTATTAAATTTATTGATATTTATTTCCATTGTCGCGAAGAAAAATATAGTACCTAACAACCAATTCTAGAAAAAATATTTGTGCTATTTGTGCTATTGGGTAGTTGAAAGTTAGATTCACTTTCTAACCGTTCGATGTTAAACCATCCAAGTTTTAGATAAACAAGTTAATTTCTTAACCTAGTTCGTGTAAATATGGAAATATCTACGTTGATATCGTAAAAGTTCAACCATTATGTGCGGAGACAAAAAATTCTGCCTCAACTTAAAAGTAAATATAAATTAGCGTTGAGTTTGAGTTGATTGAATTCGTACACGGGCTTCAAATAATTGGACTCGGGGTCAATACACGCAACTATATAATTCTTTTATCATGTATATTCAACATTAATATCTTATTACGGTGTTTGTCGTGCCTCATGATTCTTTCATTTTAAATATGTTATTTTTAAAATGGCGACATCAATATATAACAACGTAGAGTCCAAATATTTAATTGCTTTATTCTATTCCATAATTCATAATTACCTCAAGGAAAAATTACAGCAGGGGATAATCCATAGGTGTTTGAAAAACAAAATAAAACAAAACAAGAGTCCTCAACTCTTGTTTTTCTTACATTTAAGTCCTCAACATATAAGTTAGCTGTACCTTATTCTTTAATACTAGTGAAGGCACGTGCAAGGCACGTGCCGTAGTATCATTGGCTACGAAATAGCGTGGAGTGATTTCTGGTTAGAATACCGAATCACTGATCAAAGAAAAAGAATACCGAATCACTGAATAAATATTGTTGACCTGAGTTATGTTAACCTTACAGAGGCAACCAATTGGCTGGAATCAATAACTAAACTAAGTTCACTCGAAGTGCTATTCTTGGCAAGATGTTGGTTACCAGCAGTCAATCGTCCTTCACCTCACATGATCAATGCTTCTAAGTCTCTTTATAATATTTATCTTGCAGGTAATGAGCTATCCTCTTCAGTATCCTCTTGGTTGTTTACCTTCAGTAGTGGCCTAAGTCACATTGATCTGAGTCACGACAATTTACAAGGTTCCATTCCTGATGCTATTGGGAATATCATTTGCCTTGGGTCTCTTCATCTCTCTGGAAATCAACTCGAAGGTGGCATTCGTATATCATTTGGGGATCTGAGTAGTTTAAGGGACTTCCATGAAATGCTCCATTTCCTAAAATAATAGCAGTAAAAGTGATAATATGAACATTTCCTGTTGGATATAGAAGTCAAGTAGAAAGGTTTTACTTGTACCTGGCTGAAAGGGATGTAGACTGGAACCAAGAGGGCAGTCTCTGACTCTCTCATGAGATGATCTGGAGAACCACATGTGTAACAATTGCGTCCCCTCTGAATTTGAACAATGTCAAACAATATTGAGAAACTTAAACAGAAATCATGCCTGTATAAAGACTTTTCAGCATGCAAGACACAAAATTTGATTAACGATTCCTGACAAAATTGTTAATCACAGTAGAGTACAGAAAATCAAACTGTAGAATGCTCCACAAACTACAAGGGCAGCTGAACGAAGGGGGATGAGAAAAGAAATTTTAGGATAATATAGGAAACACTTCATTTTTAGAAGATTGTGCTCTACTGGGAAACAAATCCCAT